GAGTTTACTCAGCTGGTCTAACAGTAGTTACTTTATACTGCTCGCTGGAAATCACCAGGGAGAGAGCGAGCGAGAACTGGGCCTTTCGAGTCAACACGTTTCTTTATTTTGAGGCGTGGTAACGAGCCCCAAAACCGGTACAGATCCCCTGACAGGGGCGCGGGTTTTAGATGCGCTGTTAGGTTTGTGTAGAAATGCTTATCCGGGGTGCTATATACATATAGTATACATACACGCATCTATATCTCTATATCTATCTCTCTATATACGTATAGATAAATAGATAGATATATCTATATCTACTCTGTATCTATAGCTATAGATATCTATATACCCATCTACATCTCTCTCTCTCTCTATATATATGAACCACCTCCCATTTAATATATATCTATGTCTAGAGAGAGAGAGAGAGAGAGAGAGTGCTATAGATAGATATAGATGTAGACAGGTATATAGACATAAATAGATACATATAGATATAGGTATACATGGATATAGAGATATGGATATAGATATATAGATACACATGGATACAGACAGACAGATAGATAGGTAGATATACTGTATATAGATACATACAGATTTAAAAAATAAATAACTAAGACTGCCTCTGGGTTTTGCCTGCATGAGCTGCGGGGAAAATGACTGCAGGTGTTGAACACCTGGACTCACGCGGCGGCCGGGCCCTGCACGGGGGGGGTCGGGTCACGTCACACCGCCCGTCCCTGCCCTCAGCCGGGCCCAGCAGCCCTCTCGCAGGGGGCGGAGCCCTCCCACAACGGGGGCGGGGCTCCCGGGGGCACGGGGTGTCCCGGAGCAGGGGGCAGGTGTCCCGGGGGAGCTCGAGCTCGCGCCCGCCCCGCCCCGGGCCGTGGGGGCGGGGCTTGCCTCGGAGGCGCGTGATTGGTGGAGCCTCTCCCCTCAGGCGGCTGCAGCGGGCAGTCCCCTCAGACAGCGCCGCAGCGCGTCGGTCCCTGCAAGCAGCCGGGCCTCTCGGACTCAAAGCCCCCTCAGAAAATGCCTGCTGTTAACATGCACAGTAGCAAATCTTCCTGTCACAAAGGGCTCAGAGCGCCCCACGTTGCCCTTTCCCTTAGATTTCATAGACATTAGGCCTGGAAGGGACCCAAATTGTAGTTGGTCTAATAAAGCTATCGCCTCAACCGCCAGTCCTCATTGCTCTTTGAAACCTCAACCTTTTACCTGGCAATCGCCTGTGCACATGAACGCCTATATGAACATATGTACATACATTAATGATATTTCACAGCACCTTAAAAGGATCTCGCGGCTCCTCAGCGGGGAACTGCCGCCCCGACGGCTGGGTTATCTTCGGCGTGGGGCTCTCACGCCCCCGAAAGCATTGAGTTCGTCCCTCCTAACGCTACCCCAATAGACGTTTCTAAAAAAAACCGGTCCAGACCGGCCTCGTAACACATTTAGGCTGCTTCTGCACGCCAGAGGGCAGCGTTTAATTTGGTTAATTAGGGAGGAATTAAATGGGTCTGACAAAGCCCGAATACAAGGTGGGCGGAGGTGGTGTTTTTAGTGGGGGAAATCATGTCGGGGGTGGATGCGGTTATATCGCAAGCGTGTGCTGGACCGTTCCTGCTTCCTCGCCCGGACGAAGGAAGGGTATTTCGACCCGAAAGCTGACGAAGAAGAGTTTTTTCCGACTAATTGAGAAAAGAGATCAGATTTACCCAAAGAACCGTGACAGTTTAATTCACGCGTGATATGTGGTTTTTAAGGGATGAGATCGAATGAGATCGGGGCGCTGCATCGAATACAAGCGTCGAGTGTGGAAGCAGTCGAATCAAAATGCGAACGACAACCGGACACTGCCGATGTTTAATGGTTACTTACCTCCGTATCAAGTACAAATAAAGATGCTAAAATTATTGTGAAAGGAAAACCAATTCCCCCGCTCGCCCCTGTTCACGGCAGCAGCACAGCCCGTCGGCAGCTTTCATACATTTTTCCTTAAGGAGAAAGGAGATGTTAAAACTTGATATTAAAACATGTGCTGTGTCACGGGGGTGTAGGTTGTAGCCGTGTTGATCTACGGACATTGGCAGACACGGGTTCGTCGTGTGAACCTGATACCTTTTATCAGACCCGCTTGGTCTAAAATAAAAGATCATGTGCTATGTTATATTCATAGGCAAATGTAAACACAACTTTGGATTTTCTATTTTAAATAAAGAGGAAAATAACGACCTGAAGAAATGAGACGACATCCTGATTTCAAATACTGAGAGGCAGGAATCTGGAAACTACCGTGGGCGGTGGTGAAGTGCCTGCAGAGAAGGAGAAATACAGGGTGCCGTGTGTTTTATGGCTGGTTGGGAAAGCAGCAACACAAACAACCTTGAGTGCTGTTGCGGCCGAACAATTACGGCAGCAGAATTTTTTTTAACCATGTGCAAAGATCACAGATATGAGGGAGGCCGAGTATAGGAAAGAACAAGATAATCCGCCCATAAGAATAATCCATTGACTTCCTTCATGTAAAGAATTGTAGCCTGGAGTATATCGCCTGCATATTAATGTCATCTTTTTTTTGTTACGCATGATTAAATACAAATCCAGTCTTTAAATGTTTGACAGCGTGGATCCCATTCAAGCGGTGCATGTGCCCTACATACATAAGACTGCACCTTTGAATAGCCGTGTCTGCTGGGTCGCACCTGTGCCCTGCACGGTCTCATGTGCCTGCCCTACCACAGCCCGGAGCATAGAAAGCAGAGCAGCTGCAACTGTTCCTTCCTTCCTTTTTGCTTTCCTTTGCTTGTTGCCCCTGAGCATTTTTTATTCTTAATTTATTAGTTAATCCCCTTTCTCCCTTATTTTTTTTTTAATTTACTCCCTTTAATTTTTAAAAAATGTAATTGTCTCTAGGCGCTGTCTGCCAAAGCCATTTCATCAGTGGATTCAAAACACTTGGGCTTTAAGCCTGGTGACATTCCCATTTCCCTTCCAAATGTTGTGTCAGCAAAACGTCATGTGTTTGACAGTTACTCCGTCTTCATTTATTATTCTCAAGAATGAGAAAAGATCTAGAGCATGAGTCTCAATCAGGGTGCCATGGCACCCTGGGGTGCACTGAGATCCTTTCAAAGGAGTCACGCAATGTTAGCACTGTCATGAGTCACAAGATAAACCTGGAAATTTTAGTAGGAATTCATAATGTTAAAAACATTTTGCTCTATTGTGGTCTTTCTAAGTTCTTTGCAACAAGTGAATTGCTCCATTTTTTTTTCTGGAGCCAAAAACCAATGAAAACTTAAAAGCTGGCCTTTTCCAAGGGATGCCTTGAGTCTGAAAAGGTTGACAACCACTGGTCTAATCTCCAGGCACCCCCATCACTGCACAGATCGACGCTATTATTAGAGATCCATTTCTCCTCGCTTACAAAGAACAGAACATGGTTCTTCCCTCCAGACCAGAACCCCTCATTTTACTCATGAATAGCAATGGCCCCCCATCACTTCACCTCTCAACCCAGGGGTGACCAACCTGTAGCATGCATGCCACAAGTGGCATGAGAAGCCTGTGTGGCATGCAACAGATCAGAAGAGGTCAAACAGCACAGTGATAGGGCAGAAAGCAGAGCAGCAGATCAGACAGGAGCACAGGGCAGGGAGCAGAAAGTAGAGCAGGCATTAGAAGGGGATCGCACTAGCACTTGGAGGGTATGGGGCTTAGTTTATGGCACTCTTACCAAAAAGGTTGGGCCTCATTTCTTTAACCAACCTTATCTATACAGCTTTCCTCCATGGCCCTAGCCATCTTGTGCAAAGATAGAAGGGCCTCACAGAAGTAATGAGATGAAGATGAATAATCTATTTAACCCATTGTTTTGCTGAGATTGACTTCATGTTTAATATACGGTAACAGCGACATTACAAGTCACTGTCAGTGGACCGTTCAGGGTGGGCTAAAAATACACAAATGCAATCCGAAAGCGGTAAAACGGTATGTGCTGCCCTTGGTGAATTCCACTGAACAAGTTTCCATTTCTCAAAAGCAATGCCTCCCTTAGGAAAAGGTCATATTTCAAAGTTGCACCACTGTATAGGCAAAGGGTATATTTCACCCAGTGCCTTTTCATAAAAAACTTTTAGCATGTTTTATCCTGCAAGTACCTTTTAAAATAGTTAATGAGTAGTCAGCTACATCCCTGGGAATTATCAAAGTGCTGTGTCTTTTAAATCCTGGTGAACTTAAGAGAAAAGGTTTGGTGACTTGCCCAAGATCACAGAGAGTTGCTGTCACAAGAACCAAGGATTATCAGGCTCCTAGACCATGTGCAGGACACTAGACCACACCCCAGAGATACGCGATACCTACGTCTTAGAAAACGTAGGTGAGAAAAAGCACTTGAGATAAAAGAAATTCACAAAAACACACCTCTGTAACAAATGAACATAATCTTTATTACAGAAAGTCCAAGAGTAGAACAGTACAAAGTGTAGACTATTTTCACACCTTGGTAATTCAGTTAGGATCCATCCTTCAGAGCAAGATAACAGTTGAGGAGATTAATTAAATGCCAGCAGACTCTATACTCTCAGGAAAAATCATCTAAATCCACCTCCTCACTCCTTGGAGAATTTAGCAACAGATTTTTAGTTCATGAAGAAATTGGGGACTATGGAAATAAAAAAACCCCTACATTATAATTTACTCAGCATTTTGGCTAAGAATAAAGAATGAAAAATGCTTTCATATGCTGTGCCATGCACTTGCAATAGGGCGTATGAAATGATCTGGGCTGCAATTCTTAATGGAGCATCAGGCATTTGATTCAGGTGTTCTCTTTATTTTGGATCCTGTAGGTAGATTCTAACTTGAACTCTATATTGTGATGCTGTTCATGGAACAAGCGTCCAGTATGGGCAAGAAGCAGCCATAGAAGGGTAGGTTTCAGTAATCATCTTCTCATCAGTGATCTCTGCAAG